GGATGGGCCATGAAAAGGTTAGTACCAGGCTGAGGTGGTAGGATCTAAGAGGGAGCAGGTTCTGGGCCCGGAGCAGGGGCAGGCCTCACCTGCTGTCCCCACACCCCCATAGTCCACCTGTGAGTTCTGAAAAGAACCGTAGGAGAGCCTCTTCCTTTAACAGTGTCCTTCGGCGTCTTCTGCTGAGAAGCTTTAGTGTTGCTCTCACTTAAAGGAGGTGTATATAAAGAAATGCTGGTGCATATTTCAAAAACTATGTTGAAAAGAATGAAGTTGAGAGGTAATAAATTGATAACTGACCTATGTTATACCTCCATATCATGGTGACCCCTGGCAAGTTGATATCCACATTCAACTCTCCCTTGAAATGACCCTTGTCATGGCAATCAGCTGTACACTGTGTTTAGTCCTCATGTGTGTCCTAAGCTGCTTCCGTGGTGTCTGACTCTTTGGGACCCCAGGGACTGCAGCCCACCAGGCCCCTCTGTCCTTGGGATTCTCCAGGCAAGCTACTGGAGTGGGTTGCCGTGCCCTCCTCCAAGGGATCTTCCTGACCCAGGGATCGAACCGCTATCTGTTATGTCCCCATGCTCTGGCAGGCAGGGTTTTACCACTAGCACCACCTGGGAGGCCTCATTCTTATTTATGTAATAATTGGCAATGCTGATCAATATATTCTCTGCCAAGCTCTGTCAGCCTACATCCACTTCCTTGAACCTCTCCTTCCAGTAAATCCCCTGAAAAGAGCTGTGCATGTATACATTCTAAAAGTATTTCACCTTTCAATAATTCAATCTGGCTTTTGCATCCAACACCTCGCCAAAACTCTTCTTGCAAATATAACCAAATCCTGTGGATATTTTTCAAAGGTAAATTGTTTTTTTTTTTTTTAATATTTCAGTCCACTTTCCACATATTTCCTGACTTTCTACTGACCATTTTGGGCAATTCCTTCCCAGGTTTCTTCACTAACATCATCTTCTTTAGCAGAAAGGCTGGCAGTCTTTGGAGTTCATTTCAGGGTCAGCCTCTCTCCTCACATTATAGTTCCACTTTAGATGATGCATCTGTGTCTTTGTCTTCAAAAACCATGTGCTAAGGTCTGCCAAGTTTATCTCCCAGGATTACAGGCATCCAGGTACAGACAGTCAGGTCTAAAGGAAAAGGACAGATGGAGGAGCATTATGAAAGATGAGCCAGCCTGATTTCATTTGTCATTACTTCAAACCAAATCTAAACTTTGGAGAAACTAGCTGAATTTTAGTCCAGAGCTTTAAAAAATCCTATAGCAATGAATATTCATTTAGATAAAAAGTTCTTTTTTATCCCCCACTGCACCATCAGCCCTTTGAAAAATACCTTAATTCATCCTCTAAATGTGCCCAATGGATTTTTTTTTTAAACCAGAATTTCAGCATCTTAAAAGGTCTATGAATACTCATGGGTAAATCACTGTAGCTTTAAATGTGTCTGAGCTGTCCTCTTGAGGCATTTCCCCCAGGTCCATATTCTCCTCAATCCTCCATCCTGGCAAGGTTCACAGCTACCTCCTAATATAGTTGCCTACCGATATTATTATTAAATCTTTTGAAAATACTGTTTCTTGTAACTTCTGTTAAATTCATACACTTTTCCTGTCTGCCATTCACCGAATGATGTGCTTGTTTATTACATCAGTACAGCTGATATCCAGTTGGCAAAAATTTTTAGAACATCTGTATTGCAGTAACACTTAGATACCATTTAGCTTTTTGAGGCATCAGGTTTAAGCAAATTTTGACTGAAAATTAAATGCTTTAATCATCTTGCTACAAAACTGGTACTATATTTTTATATGCTTGAAAATGATATGAAATACTAGCAAGATTTCAGTCATACTAACTCACTTCTTTAACACTATATTTTAATTAGCATTGCAAGAATCAAGTTTTGCTTTTCCTTTTTTTTTTTTTTTTACAAAATTGCTTCTTTGTAGCTGAGTGAGATAACTTCAGTGTGAGAGATGGTGTGACAACAATTCTAATGTCACAAATGTTCTTTGTAGCAATGTCTGTACCTTTTATACCAATGTTTAAGTCCAAATAGGCAGACTTCTTTTCCACTACTTGATACATCACCTTATTTCTTGATTCTTTCATACACAATGATGCAAATTCATTACCTTCTCATTTATGCCTCTTTTTTTTTTTTTTTTTTTTTACTATTTCACATAATTTTTATAGAAACAGTATTTGACCTGAGATCATCATCAGCTGTTGGAAACTTTTTTTCAGTGTTTAAATACAAGAGCTTGCTCTTGGGTCAGCTGTTCCCTGGCAGGTTCAGTCATGAATGCTGGGATCAGTATATGAACATCTATTTTGTCTGTGCATTGGAAATCTTGTCTGGAATTAAGAACAAATTGGCCGTATCAATATTATACTTAAAGATTTCTTATTTAAGCAGCAAATCCAATTGATTTTTTTTCTGCTAAGATTTTTAAAAATATAACTCTGTAGCTTAATTCACTAAATGTCTTTTATGTACATGCCCTTAAAGTTCACAGTCTCATTCATCTCATCTAACCATTCTCCTAAAAGTTTATGCTAAACATGGTAAATAACTTGCCAAAAGACACACAAAAAAATGCAAGTTTTAAAGCCGGTTCAAAATCATGACCAAAGCCAAATATAATAATAATGATGAAGAATTTGAAATATTTAGAGAATTACCAAACACAGAGACACGTAGTGAGCAAACATTTCTGAGAAATGGCATTGATTGACTTGCTCAATGCAAGGTTTTCACAAACCTTAGTTTTTAAAAAATTGCAGTATCTTTAAAACATAGTACAGTGAAAAATTATAAAATGAGCCTAAGACATAGAGAACAGACGTGTGGGCATGGTGGGGCGGGGTGTAGGGTGTGATGAATTGGGAGATTGGAATCGGCGTGTACGTACTGTGTGTGTTTGTGAGCGCTAAGTCACTTCCATCGCGTCCAACTCTGTGAAACCCCATGAACTGTAACCCTCCAGGCTCCTCTGTCCGTGGGATTCTCCAGGCAAGAATGCTGGAGCAGGTTGCCATTCCTACCCTAGGGGATCTTTCCTACCCAGGGATTGAACCCTTATCTTTTGTCTCTCCTGCATTGGCAGGCAGGTTCTTTACCACTAGTGCCCCCTGGGAACTCTGACAGACATGTACTCTTTGCAATACCATGGACTGTAGCCCTCCAGACTCCTCTGTCCATGGGATTCTCCAGGGACATTCTTGTCCATGGCAAGAATGCTGCAGCGGGTTGCCATTTTCTTCTACAACAGATCTATCTATCTATCTATCTATCTATCTATCTATCTATCTATCTATATACACACACAAAGCTGATTCTCTTTGTTGCAAAGCAGAAATTAACACAACATTGTAAAGCAACTACCCTTATAAAAAAGTTGGAAAAATGAGGTATCCCTATGTATAGAAGCATATACACACAACAGAACGAAGGCAAATGTGAATGTGGCAAAATGTTACAATGGACAAAATGTGAAAAAGGTATTGTGATAGGGAGCTTCCAAACTAGTTCCCAAGGTATCCCCTCTCTATTATACATGTCCTGTAAATTCCTTGTCCTTGATCCTGAGTGGGACCTGTGACCATGAAATGTCACTCGAGGGTTAGATTATTCTATCTGGTCAGGATGAAAAGATTTTGCATATGCAGTTAAGATGCCAAATCAGTTACCTTTAAATTAATCAAAAAGGGGATTATTGTGGGTGGGTCTGATCTAAATGGGTGAGCAGATCCTTCTGCTTTAAAGAAGCAGAAGTAAGCAAGAAGTAAGCTTTGAAGAAGTAAGCTGCCCGGTTAGGAGAGGGTTTGAGACGGCCCTTGACAAGGAATGAGAGTGGGCTCTTGGAGCCGGGAGCAGCCTCCAGCTGACAGCCATCAGAAAACAGGAGCTCAGTTCTTTAGCTGAAAAGAGCGGAACCCTGCCAGCAAGCATGCAAAAGAAGGAGGTGACGCTGCACCCCCGAAGGGAGCCGACTGGCACCTGGGCTGAGACCCTGCGCGGAAGAGCCAGCTGACCTGTGCACAGACTCCTGACTCATAGAAATACTGAGAAATACATGTTGTTGTTTCAAGCTGCTAAGTCTGTAGTGATTGGTTAGGTAACATAGAGAACTAATATGTAAACAGATCTTCTTTGGATTCTCTTTGTATCATTCCCGCGCACTTGAAACTGCATCAGCATGAAAAGATTTTAAAAACACGCTGCCCCGCTGTGGACCCCTTCTTTTCCTTACTAAAAGGCTGTAGGCCAATCTAGGGCTTCCCTAGTGGCAAGCTGGTAAAGAATCTGCCTGCAATGCAGGAGACCTCAGTTCGATTCCTAGCTTGGGAAGATCCCTTGGAGAAGGGATAGGCTATCCACTTTAGTATTCTTGCCTGGATAATCTCCATGGACAGAGGAGCCTGGCAGGTCACAGTCTGTGGGTCGCAAAGAGGCAGAAACGAATGAGTGACTAAGCATAGCACAGCGCAGGCTAAAGTAACCAGCAAAACCAGTATCTCAGCTTCTCCATTCCCGTAACTCCCACAAGACAAAAGTAAACCCAAGGTCATTAATTGTCTTTGAAATCTTATATTGTGTTGCCTTAGAATTGCACTAGAATATAATGGATTGGTTTGCTTGAATATGATAATTAAATTTTATGCTTTTGTTTCTAGCCATGATGACGAAATCAGGATTGAATCTTCCTCTCTTTCATAAATCATCTAGAAAATTGAACGAAATAAGAAATGACTGCATTCAAAGATGTGGATGATCATAATCCCTACCAGAAAGGAAAAGTGAGGTGAGTCATACAATCATTCCAGCTTTATGTCTTGAGGCATTTACTGAATCAGACTTCAAGTGGGGAGACCTTAGTCAGAGCCTAGAGCTGTTGATGAGTTGTCAAGACTGATAAGATAGAAATTTGGGGTGGCTGAAAAGTACTCCAGGAAATGTCATTGAGTTACCTTGATTCTATTAACTGAATACCAAACAGCACCTTTAGAAGGCTGGGGGAACAACTGGCAACCCTAGATCCCAAAATCTGGGAGACGATCACGTTCTGATAAGGCAAAGGTGAGCGGCAGTGTCTAAAAGCCAGTGCAGCCAGTAGGACCTCCAAGTGGTCAAGCTCTAATGCGGCAGATATGGCTATTGTATTTCGACCCTGTATACTCTGATTCAGCAAAATTCAGTTTTTAGTACTGGAAGTGTTTCTGTGAAATCATTCAAATTTTTCTATATAGACAATGCTTTTATATGCAAATCTCTAAGCCCTAGGCCATAATAGAAAGACTAAGCCTTAATCCATCCAAAGAGCAACTTCCATAGGGCTTGTGAAGGAGTGTTTTTTTTTTTCTTTTAAATATGCAACAGAATAGAAGAAACAGAATAAAACTATATTGGACATTAGATAATAGAACCCTTATTTTAAATCTGATTTTGCCATACTATAATAAATATGTGAAAAAAGGAAAGCAATTTAACTGTTCTGGGACTCATTATTCTAATTTATAAATAAGAAAACTAATAGTTAATCCATAGAACTGTTATGAGAATTGAATGAGAAAATATATATAAGCCATAAGACTGATATAAATACTTAGCAATCTTTCAGTTTTTTTTTTTTTTTTTGTAAAGCTCAGCAAGAAAGACAGCATAGCCTTTAAAAAATGCAAGTAGAATATTGTCAAATAGGAAATTTCAAACTAAATAGGAGCCATCCTTAAAAAAAAACAGCATTCCTGGAATTTACTTTTTGTTGTTTTGGTTTAGGCAACATATAAATATTAGGTTAAGTTTAGAAAAAGATGTTAAAAATACAGAAGGTGAGTGAAAAGGATCTGGTTTTTAATCCAAATACAAATAATGAACACATAATAAAAAACTGAAAGTGGGCTGCAGATTTGCGTGCAGTGGTCAGTTTATTATCTCCAAGTCTGTATCAGAAGTCAGTTATAGCTAGAAGTGTCTACGTCAAACATGGAGCCACAGGAAGAAGTTGCTGGAAGGACGTAACGGCTTTGGTAGCTGTGTTCACTCGCGGAATGCTCGAGTCCCCCCGGCTGAGCCTCCTCCCACCATCTGTATCAGAAGGAGCTTGATCGTCCTTGTTACGTGAGCTCCTCTTTTTCTAGGTTACCTGAGGGGCCTGTCCTATACTTTGTGTGATGAAAGTCTGTGTAAAAAAAAGAAAAGAGAAGGGAAACTTTTCCCAGTTGTTTGGTTGTGTCCACATTATGCTTTGGTTATTATCCCGTGTGGTGGTGTATTTTTACAGACTTCTCTATGACATGTCTTCAGAAGATCGCTTGTGTTTGTTCATACAGATGACTAATTCCATCTATTTGTGGGCTTCACTTATTTCCAAGTTTTTTGAATGTTCATTATTTTCCTCTCAAGGGTGATTATTTTGCCTCTCCCCACACACACTTTTAAAAAATTGCTGGTAGTGGAGGAAGCTATGCATTTGTGTGTGTGTCGGGGGGTGGTATACGAGAGATTTCTGTACCTTCTACTCAGCATTGCTGTGAACCTAAAACTGCTCTAAAAATTAAAATCTATTAAAACAAAAACTGTAGCAAGTGATTAGCTTATTTCATGACACTAACATGTAACAGTTACTTCATGTGATATTTCTGAAGTCGCAGTTCAAATAATTTTCACTTTTTAGACTTCCCATAATTATCTGATGCATTATCATTCCAAATAACTATGTATTTCCAAATGTATTTCCTTACTGACTTCCTTATCTTTGTGTCTCATATTTTTACTCATATTTGTCCATTTGGATGACTCTTATTCTGACATGGCATTTTCTTCTCAATAGCAAAAAATGTGATTTCCTCCCCATTCTCTCATCATTAATCTATTGTACCCCTTCAAATTTGGGGCTGTTCTTCATTATGCATGTCAGGCTGTCAGATTTTCAACATTGCTTAGAATAAAAATTCCCTTTATGAGTTGATATGGAGGGTAAAGAGTCTATCTCATTTCTATTTTTTTCCTTTTTTTTTTTTTTTTTAAATAAGCAGTGTGTACACTGTGAGCTGAGTCTTCTTGTGTTTTGTTTTTCATCAAAAGACAATGTCTTATCAGAAATCCTTCCTTCAAGGGCATTATGGTTTTTTTTTTCCTTAAGGTTTTTCACCTTTAAATATAGCACAACATAAAGCTTTCCTTGATTGATGGGAATCATATTAAAGTTTGGGGTAGACTGGCATGATGTTTCCTCAAGCATAATCCAATATAGAAACCCCCCCTCCATACTTCTAATAACAGCACATCCTAAAATAATTTCAGTAAAGCAACCAACATCCATTTCTTTGCATGGGTTCAGTATGTGTGCGCTGAGGATTTGCTCAGTAGAGTTTTGCTGTTGTTGTTTCCCTTCACATCCTGAAAATCATGAAGTTATCTTTTGAATGTCTCCTGTTCCACAGAAGCGTTAACACCACATACGTAAAAGTACATGCTGTTATTGTTGTTGTTGTTGAGTCACTAAGTCGTGTCTGACTCTTTGCAGCCCCACGGACTGCAGCACCCCAGGCTCCTCTGTGCTTCAGTATCACCCAGAGTTTGCTCAAATTCACGTCCATTCAGTCAGTGATGCTATCTAAACATCTCATCCTCTGTCACCCTCTTTTCCTTTTGCCTTCAGTCTTTCCCAGCATCAAAGTTTTTTCCAATGAGTCAGCTTTTCACATCAGGTAGTTAAAGTATTAGAGCTTCAGCTCCAGTGCTTCCAAGAGTTACTCAGGGTTGATTTCCTTTAAGATTGACTGGTTTGGTCTCCTTGCAGTCCAAGGGACTCTTAAGAGTCTTCTCCAGCAGCACAGTTCGAAAGCATCAATTCTTTGGTGCTCAGCCTTTGGGGTCCAGCTCTCAGATCCGTGCATAGCTACTGGGAAAACCATTGCTTTGACTATACAGAACTGTGGTGACAAAGTGATGTCTGCTTTTTAATATGCTGTCAAAGTACATATTCCCCCCTCTACCCTTACAGGCTTTCAAACCTGTTAAATTATGGTCCAAGTCTATATAGCAATTTAATAGCATACCAATAGTGCTACCACAGAATATTATGAGTTCCATTTATTCTAACTCAACTTAATATAAGAACTCATTTATCATGCATCCTTTGGAAGTTCTCTTAAAATCTGAAAGATTAAGCCAGATACTTACATTTCTGAAGGTGGCAAATTATTACAATTTATTAGAAACTTAGTTATCTTCTGTGAATCGTCTTTAAAAAGTTCCCATGATGAAAATGTGAGAAGAAATAAGTGTTGTTCATACGTCTGTGGCTGTTGAGATTAGTCGTAGTTTTCCACCTCCTGTGATGAAAAGCCCTGGCCAGCTCTGACATGTAATAATGAGTTTAAAAACTGCCATGTCTTAAATTCCTATTATATACAAATTCCTTCATTTTTTTAATGTCAACTTTTCAGTTAGGTAGATAATAATATACCCGTTTTCATGGATGGACCTTAGAGGGATTCTTGTAAGAACTGTAGCCCCAAACGTGCCAACAGTTGCCTCCACCTTAAGATCTATGGACTTGCCCAAAGTGACAACGACAATACCAATCTTCTCTTGCTTAAACAAGAAGAAAGCGTTATAATTTTTTAGGGCTTCCCAGGTGAATCCTCCTGCTAAGCAGAAGATGCGGGTTTAATCGCTGGGTTGGGGAGATCCCCTGGAGAAGGAAATGGCAACCCACTCCAGTATTCTTGCCTGGGAAATGCCACGGACAGAGCAGCCTGGTGGGCTACAGCCCACAGGTAGCAAAGAGTCAGACACAACTTCTGACTAAACAGCAAACAGCAGCATAGTGAAAGTGAAAGTGTGAGTCGCTCAGTCATGTGACTCTTTGCGACCCCAAGGACTGTAGCCCGCCAGGTTCCTCTGTCCATGGCATTTCCCAGGCAAGAATAGTGGAGTGGGCAACCATTCCCTTCCCCATGGATCTTCCTGACCGAGGGATTAAACCTGGGTCTCCCGCATTGCAGGCAGACTCTTCACCATTTGAGCCCCCAGGGAAGCCTGCAGATCGTATGTTTAAAGCGGAGGTTTATCCTGGCGCGGGGGGCTTGATAGGCTCGGAGTCACCCCTGGCATTCTCTTCTCGTCCTGACCAGCCACGGGCCAGCATCGAGTCTCTCAGTGCCTGCTGGGAAAGAACAAAAAGAAGCCGGTGTACTGGCCGTCAGCTAGGCTATAGACCACCATCCCCTGTGCCCGGGGCTTCCCAGGGGCCTCAGTGGTAGAGTCTGCCTGCCAACAGAGGGTGAGATGGCTGCACGGCATCACCGACCCAATGGACATGAGTCTGAGTAAACTCTGGGAGATGCCAATGGACAGGGAGGCCTGGCGTGCTGTAGTCCATGGAGTCGCAGAAAGTCGGACACGACTGAGCGACTGAAGTGAACTGAACTGAATGCAGGAGATGCAGGATACTCGGGTTTGATCCCTGGGTCGGGAAGATTCCCTGGAGGAGGAAATGACAACCCACTCCAGTGTTTTTGCCAGGAAGATTCCATGGACGGAAGAGCCTGCAAGCTACAGTCTGTGGGGTTGCAAGGAGTCGGACACAGCTGAGCTACTGAGCCCGCACACACTCTCTGTTGTCACAGTGGATATTTCTACACAGGTCACTTTTACAGTTTGTGCTAAACTGAAGAAGTAGAGTGGCTGCTACTCAAAAATGTTCTGTGGGCGCCATACTCAGGGGTTAGTCCTAGCATATCATACAAGTACTGTTCTCACTGCTAGAAAGCCAGAAGACAGGAGTGTCAATGCAATCAGCTACTTAAAGCATAAAGAAACCAGTCAAGCATTGGTTTTCTCCAACCTGCTAGTGCTTACTGTCACAGGATAGCATGGGAGCTGATGGAATAATGTCCAAAGAACAAGACCTAAACATGTGTCCTTTACTTCAACATGCCCTAGTTCTAAGAACCTGGGTCACTGTCTTTATAATCAAACCCATTTTTATTAGTGCAATCAGCAGGATGCAGGTGCCACCTCACAATTTAAAACAGAAAATCCCAAGTTAATGTGTGTGGGGGCATGTTCAGTGTGTTAAGCATTTAATACAAGTCTTAGGAACTACCTCAATACCATTTCTTCAATGTCAAACAGTGATAAATGTCTAGGCACGGATTAAGTTTCTTG